CCCCCCCCACTTACAAAGGAAGAGCAAACTATACACACTTCTGTTTAACAATATATCCTAGAGATCATTACATAGTAGCATATAGAGATCTCTTTATGCCTTTCTACAGCCGCATATAAACTGGGTTCCATTTGTAATCTGCCTGAGTTTTAAAGCCCCAGGCTTGTTTTCTTCTGTCACAACTGGATTCTGATTAATCTCCAGTCTGTAGCCGCTCCTCTTTTCAAGATAGTATCATCCTTGTCTCTCTCTTGCAACCTCTTCACATCCTATGTATTTTTACCACCACGCTTCTTTATTCATGTTGTCCACCCCACACAAAATGCCCTTCTCTCTCTCTCTTTTGTCTATCTATATATCCATTCTATCTATACATAGACCCAGCTCAATCCTTACTTCCTTCAAAACGTTCTCCCTTTTTACAGTCCACTCAGAACTCTTCCTTCTTAGAACCTTCATTGGAAATTTTATTTTTACACATTTTAGCATTTTATTATTTTCCAAGGATTAGTGTTTAACAGATTCGCTTCCTTAAATCAATTTTTTAAAAACTAAAAACAAGATTTTTTTTGTATCTATCCACAATGACACCTTTTATAGTACCAGAAACTATAATCAATAAATGATTGATCAGAGGATGTTAAAATCCTCTAGAAACAACTTCAGTGTTTAGGAAAATCATGTGTTTTTTTGGGGGAGGGATATTCAGAATGAATGAAAACATTTCTGATAGTTTTTTTGGTGATAATTTTAGCATGTCACTGAATACTAAACTGAAATATTTTAAAAGTTATATCAAGAACATTACCTTTATGAAAATATTCTAGTCATTTACCATTTTTCTTTATTTGTCAACTCTTCAGGCCTTTTACTTGTGGAGCATCTGTTCATTTTTCTCTTTTGGTCAGGTAGCAGCTGTCTTCTGACTAATTTAAAATGTTGCATTAAAATGAGCTTTGCTATTTTCACCATTGCATATGTTCATCTTTTGCTTTTGGGAAATGACATAATGTGATTCAATGTGTTAATTTAAATATCACCCAAAATATAATCATTTCCAGATCCATTTGTTGACATTTAATACTATTCAGTTTAAAATGTCATCAAGCCAAATGCAGTGGTATTTGTACCAATGCAAATTTTTTGGCAAAATTAATTGTCTAAATAATACATAGTGTACACGTTACAATCAGATGTGATACCTATAGCGTGGAAGGGCCACTTGAAAAATCATGAATCAAAGTTTGGTTTAGGTTTGCACTGCAAAGGGCAATTACCATTACCTTAAGTAACACTGTAATTTTGTTTTAGGGTCTGTTCACAGAAGATTGGCCTGAACCAATCTTCCCTGAACATCCTCATAGAACTGAGTGCTTAGGTCTCAGTTTTTTGAGTTTTTCAACTTTTGTGCTTCTACATGGTAAAGGGCTTTGTTCTGGAAATTTCACCAGCTTCTCTTCTACTAAGCATAAATTAAAGGAGAAAGAATAAATAAGCATATTTCTTTTATTTTAAGGTTTAAAGGAAGTTTTCCTTTTTAGTTCGCTTTTTCTGTGAGGAAAACTAAGAATTATCTTCCTTTATTCCAGCTTATGTCCTGTATTCCTTTAGCAAATCCTCTTGAAAAATTTCTCCCCAAAAACTAGCTAGCTTACTTTTTTTTTA